AATAACCTAGTGAATCTATGCATACCATTAAATAAGTCAAAACAATTATGTTTTTATTTGTTAGTTCGTTGTTATGTATGTTCAGTAATTCTTCCTTTAATTGTAGGTTGGCATGGCGACAAATATTCCACCTCATAATCTTTGTGAGCTTGTGGATGCTCTCACAATGTTGATTCATAATCCTGATGCTTCGGTAAGCATGTCGTTCATCTTTTAAATGAATTTATCCAGATAGCTTTTTGAGATATCAGTTAAAGTTGATTGCAAGGAAGGCAACAATTTTTTTGCATTCTTGTATGTTTTTTTTTTGTATTCCTCTATGACATGAAGACTCGCATAATCTCCAAGGCCTGGCTAAGACTTATTTTGTGGTTGCATGGCTATGCTAATTCACTGGTAAGTTGTAACTGATCATTATCTTTTGTCTAAAGCTTCAAGAACTGCTGGAATACATGCCTGGTCCAGACTTCCCAACAGGAGGGCTGATCATGGGGAATATCGGGTATTTCTAATTTCCCTTCTGTTTTATGCTATGATTTTTAATATTTAATAAGACTTGGATTACTTTTTTCTTCTTGTACTTCAAGAATTTTGGAAGCCTATAGAAGTGGTCGGGGACGTATAATAATTAGAGGGAAGACTGAAGTTGAGTCCCTAGATGAGAAGACAAAACGCATAGCAATTATCATTAAAGAGGTCAAGTCGATCCTATATTTAGCAAATTTTTATTTTTTGCTTTGTTGTCTCATTGGGTTGAACATATTTTCATTTTTTTCCCCTGTTTTTGAGGACTGCAGTTTCTCTTATCTAAAGCTTTGCAACTTTATTGCAGATCCCTTACCAGACAAACAAAGCTGCACTAGTGGAGAAAATTGCTGAACTAGTTGAAGATAAGGTATCGAATTTTTTTCTTGGAAAATTCTCGTATTGTATCAATATAATATGCATGCATGTGGTGGAAACAATATCATTTCTGATTTGTACAGTCCCATGCTTTCTTTGGTGGCTAGGGGCAATATTTTAGGCTTACAATTGTGATTGAACTAATGATTTCTTTTCTTTACATGGCTCAATGTGATTGAACTAATACACACCAAACACCTTTTTCAAACGACATCATTATCATACATAAATTCAGATTGTTTGTTCTTTTGTCAACATTTTATACATATTCATTTAGGAACACAATATGTAAACTTTTA